TAGCTAGCTAGCTAGCTAGCCAGCTAGCTAGCTAGCTAGCTAGCCAGCTAGCTAGCTAGCTAGCTAGCTGGGGGAAGGGGGGAGCGGAGAGGCTAGCTGGCTGGGTGGAGAGCTAGCTAGCTAGCTAGCTAGCTAGCTAGCTAGCTAGCTGGTGTCAGCACACCCAAGCTATCTATCTATCTACCTATCTACCCCGCTCCCCACCCACCCACCCACCCAGCTAGCTAGCTAGCTAGCTACCCACCTAGCTAGCTAGCTAGCTAGCTAGCTAGCTAGCTAGCTGTGTGTGTGTATGTGTATGCTTGCCTGGCGGGGTATCAACGAGCAAGAAGTCTAGGGGCCCCCAGTTGACGTTGCTGAGAAAAGTTTTAATAAGCAAGTGCTTCTTGGGGCCCCTCCAAACCACCGCGCTGTCCGCGTCAGGCAGCAGAAACCCTAAACCCTCACACACAAACCCTAAACCCTAAACCCTAAACCCTAAACCCTAAACCCTAAACCCTCATAAGTGCGCAAACACAGAAACAAAAACACACGAAAGCGATATACTAAACCCTAAACCCTAAACCCTAAACCCTAAACCCTAAACCCTAAACACTAAACACTTAATCTCTTCTCTATTGATTTCAAACAAAGGGCAGGCTTCACAGAACCCTAAACCCTAAACCCTAAACCCTCTCCCTCTAAACCCTAAACCCTAAACCCTAAACCCTAAACCCTAAACCCTTTCTTGCCTATAGACATAAGACAAAGATCAGGCCTGACGAATGCTGGCTCCCATCCCTCTCTCTAAACCCTAAACCCTCTCCTCTCCCCTCTCCCCCTCTAAACCCTCTAAACCCTAAACCCTAAACCCTAAACCCTAGACCCTAAACCCTTGCCTATAGACATAAGACAAAGATCAGGCCTGACGAACGCGGGCTCCCACCCCTCAGCACTCTGAAAAATTTCTGCGTTTTGCTGCTGCAGCATCAGAGGCAGCGAGGGCCCGCATAAGTCCAAGTCACACACACCCACGCTGTAACCCTGCTGGTTCAGGGTCCATGCTGCAGCAGCAGCAGCAGCAGCACCAGCAGCAGCAGCAGCAGCAGCAGCAGCAGCAGAAGCAGAAGCAGAAAGAAGAAGGAGAAATGAGAAGGAGAAAGAAGAGAAGGGGAAGAGGAGAAAGAGAAAAACAAAGAAAAGAGAAAGTGAAGAGAGCAGCAGCAGCAGCAGCAACAGCAGCAGCAGCAACAGCAACAGCAGCAGCAGCAGCAGCAGCAGCAGCAGCAGCAAACACACATAGCAGAGAGATATATGAAGACACTCAAAAACAAACAAAAACCCTAAACCCTAAACCCTAAACCCCAGCCCCCAAACTCTAAACCCTAAGACAGAAACAACCCTAAACCCTAAACCCTAAACCCTAAACCCTAAACCCTAAACCCTAAACCCTAAACCCTAAGCCCTAAACCCTAAACCCTAAACCCTAAACCCTACCTAGCTGCGAGGTGACGGTGGATTTGCCTACTCCTCCTTTGCCCGACAAAATAATTATTTTGTGTTTTACATGTTTTAGTTTTTCAGCAACATCTGGGTTTTTCTGCTGCTGCTGTGCTGCTGCTGCTGCTGCTGCTGCTGCTGCTTCTTCCGGCGCCGCTGCTGCTGCTGCTGCTGCTGCTGCTGTGCCACCTTTTGCTGCTAGACACAGACTCCGACCCGGGCAGCCAGCACAGCCAGCAGCAAGCCCAGCCTGTTCGCTCTCGGGGCCTGGGCAGCACTCAGATATCTCCTGCTGCTGCTGCTGCTGCTGCTGCTGTTGCTGCTGCTGCTGCTGGGGGCGGCGGTAGAGCAGCAGCACCGCTGCTGCTGCTGCTGCTGCTCCAACGG